GGTACTGTCATCATTCACCTACCTGAATGTGCAAGCTCTGTGAGAGCAGCGGCCGTACTTGCCCACAGCACACTAAATAGCATGGAATATTCCATTGGGTTGTGTTTTTAGTTATGCTGCTATAACGAATACCATAGACTGGGTGGCTTAAACAGCAACCATTTATTTCTCACCATTCTGGGGGCTGAGAAATCCATGATCGAGGTGCAGGATGGTGTGGTTCCTGGTAAGAACTCATTTCTTGGATCATTGATGGCTACCTTCATGCTATGCCCTCATATGGCAGAGAGAAAGATCGTATCTCTTGTATCTGTTCTCATAAGGGCCCTAATCCCACTCAAGGGCTCCAACCTTATGACCTGATTACCTTCTAAAAGCTTCACCCCTATATACCATCACCTTGAGGGTTAGAGCTTCAACATATGAGTTTTGGGGAGACACAAACGTTCAGTCCATAGAAGGTTGGTTATCTCACTGGATGACACCAATGAGGCCAATTAAGAGTAATTCATGTAGGAGCAAGCTCTGCAACACATTCTGTACTATGTGTGATAGTGTGAAAAGTGCTTAAATAGGTGTCAGAAGACTTGAGTTCTAGTCTAGTCACTGTTATGTTCAGTGACCTTCAGTAATTTGTTGATCTCTGGGAATTTTATCTCCTTGTTTCTATAATGACTAAGTAATTGCTGAGCTTTCTTCAGCCCTAAAATTGCATGATTTTATGATTCCAAACCTTAGCCAACCATCTAAAAATGCATTCTCTGGATGATGAAAAGTATTGACTAGGCCTACATGGAAAAGCCAGATTTCTTGGTAGAAAGAATTACTCCAAGCACACGGCCTAAAGACAATGACTCAGAAGCACCACCTTCCTCTTTTCCTTAACAGTTGCTCTTGTGGTGGAGGTGAGAGGCAAAAAGGGAGAGAATAGGCGCTGATGCATGGAATGAATGTGGAGACAGAATATGGCTCTAAACCACACTGCGGTCTATCATGTAGTATTTAGAGAGGAAAGAATGGAAAAGGCTGAACTCACATTTATTAAAACTATATTCTATTAGTTCTTTTAAGGAACCATTCAATCCTCTAGTCATGGAATATGCTTCCTGTATTGGATCGAATGGTGGCTTTTCAAAAGATATGACCACATCCCAATCTCTGGACCTGTACTAGTAAATGCAGCCTTATTTAGAAAAGGGGTCTTACAGGTGTAGCAAGGATGTCAAGATGAGATCCTCCTGGATCCTCCAGGTGGGCCCTAAGTCCAATGACAAGTGTCCTTATAAGAGATGCTCAGAGGTGAAGCCACATGGAGACAGCGTCAGAGGGCAGAGTAATGGAGCCACAGGGAATGCTGACAGCCAGCAGGAGCTGGGGGAGGCAAGGAAAGATTCTCTAGGGAGGGAGTACAGCCCTGCAGATAACTTGATATTAAATTTCTGGTCTTCAGAGCTGTGAGAGAATAAATCACTATTGCTTTAAGCAGCCAAGTTTGTGGTAATTGGTTATGGCAGCCCTAGAAAACTAAACTTCAGATAAGTAAATTTAAAAAGATGGACATCATTCATCAAGAACTCCAGTATCTTTTTTCCTATCAACATCACGGAACACTTGACATTGAACATTAATAATATTATTAAATAGCAATCTTAGATCTCTTCTGAAATAAACATGTTTTTGCCTGCCTTATAGCTGTCTGTAAATACCACCTCCTGAATGAACCACTGTTTTCTTAAGACTGGTTTGTAGAAGGAAACACCCCACTGCCAGAGAAAGGGGCTTCATTTTTATATTTCTCCTTCCCTGACTCTGTTTTGGTAACTTTGTTTCTGTACCAGATCCACACTGTTCATTAACTTCTCCATTTTAGGGTATTTCAGCTTCATAGAGCAATAATAGCAATAATATTCTGCTGTTTTATTACACGTTTATCCGTCGACTATCTGTTCTTTTGGCCAGATTTTGTTGGCCTTATCTCAGAGCTCTGTCTCAGTACATCTTTTAGTGACTGTTTTCCCACATATCAAATTAAGAATTTGTTAATCAATTTACTAGTTCACATTTGAAGGTGAACAGCTTATAATGTTTGTGACAATATTGGATTTCTTTATTTCCAAATGAGTGATTTTTATTATTTTTAATTTTTTAATTAATATACTTTTATTGAAGCCCTGGCTGGTTTTGCTCAGTGGATAGAGCGTCAGCCTGGAGACTGAAGAGTCCCGGGTTGGACTCCAGTCAAGGGCATGTGCGCAGGTTGTGGGCTCGATCCCCAGTAGGGCGTGTGCAGAAGGCAGCCAATCAATGATTCTCTCATCATTGATGTTTCAATCTCTCCCTGTCCTTTCCTCTCTAAAATCAATAAAATATATATTTAAGATATGTATTTTAAGCAGAAAAAAAATAGTTTATTATAAGCTACTGGGTAACTCAGACCCAGATGCAATGAGGGTTTCACAGAGCACCAGCTTGGGCGCCAACACGTGAGTTCTGCCTCACCTCAACTGCTGACTAGCTGTTCCATCTCTGGATACGTTACATATTATAACCTGCATGTTCTTCAGCCAAACATGGTGAATAAAACCTGCCTTGTCTAGCCCTAATCAGTTTGGCTCAGTGACTAGAGCTTCGGCCTGTGGACTAAAGGGTCCCAGGTTCGATTTCTGTCAAGGGCATGTACTTTGTGTCGTAAATGTTTCCCTCCGCGTCCCGCGTGGTTCAGGGTTCAGGATCTGGAAGAGAAGCCGCACACAAATGAAATAGAAAAGACAAGAGATAATTTGGAAATACTGGGGGACCAGGCGGGTAAGTCCAACTCAAGAGGAAGGACTTCCACCCGTGCTCAGTCCGCACTGACCTTTTATAGTCTGAGGTAAACAATGCAGTGGTTACCATGGTTACAGTTCTTGTGAGTTTCACCTGTTTTGATCATGTTTACACTCCCTGTACTTCCCTCAGCCCATTAGCTTCCCAGGTAAGATCTGGGGAGTGTTATAAGGTACAGCCTAATTATGCTAAGAGGACTGAGCCCTCTAAGCTGGGACTTGCTTGTGACTTTGCCAGCAGGTCAGTCTGAGGCTTAACCCTATATCAGTTTCCCACACTTTGGTTGCGGGCACATCCCCAGTAGGGAGTGTGCAGGAGGCAGCTGATCGATGTTTCTCTCTCATCGATGTTTCTAACTCTCTATCCCTCTCCCTTCCTCTCTGTAAAAAAATCAGTAAAATATGTTTAAAAAAAAAAAACTGCCTTGTCTACATCTCAGAACTACTGTGAGGGCAAATGAGAGCAAGCCCTTTAAAAAGTTTAAAAAAGAACTGTATACATGTGTATCATTATTATCAAGTGATTTAGGATATTTGAGCACATACACTTCACTCCAAAGCCATATTACTCAGCATTGGGATGCCATTGGGACCCCATTGGTCCTCTCCATTACCTAACTGTGCATCACGAAGCATTAAATTGCCCATGGCAATGGTCTGAACGGAAAGCCTGGTAATTCCAGCAGTTGTGTTTGCTAAGCTTGTCCTAGAACCATCTTCCATGTGACTTCAGCCTATCTCCTGTGAGCGACCGTTTCTCTCCTCGAGGCTCACTAAGCTTGTCGACATGGTAGCTTGTACTCATCTCTGGGGTCTAAGCTGTGCTGGCCTCAGAGCTGGGCTTCTTCCCTCAGAGTCTTCCCTAAGCAGCATCCCAAGGGCTGACACTTGGAGCCTGTGTTCAGAGTCACTGTCCACCAAGGCTTCATGCATGGTGTAGGTATTGATTAGGTACATAATCAATGAGCTTTAAAATGCAGTGAGCTCTAAATTTTCCTTATACAGTTGACCCTCCAACAACACAGATGTGAACTGTGCAGGTATACTTATTTTTTTTCAGTGAATACTGTAAATGTATTTTCTTTTATGATTTTTTAAAATATATTTTTATTGATTTTTTACAGAGAGGAAGGGAGAAGGATAGAGAGTTAGAAACATCGATGAGAGAGAAACATCGATCAGCTGCCTCCTGCACACTCCCCAATGGGTATGTGCCCACAACCAAGGTACATGCCCTTGACCAGAATCGAACCTGGGACCCTTCAGTCCGCAGGCCGACGCTCTATCCACTGAGCCAAACCGGTTTCGGCTATGATTTTCTTAATATTTCCTTTTCTATAACTTACTTTATTGTAAGAATACATATACAAAATATGTGTTAACTGTTTATGTTACCAATAAGGTTCTTAGTCAACAGCAGGCTATTAGTAAATTTTTAAGGAGTCAACAGTTATACTTGGATTTTCAACTGCATGGAGGTTGGCTCCCCCAAACCCCACATTGTTTAAGGTCAACTGTAATTCCATTTTTGC